CCCAAACCCTAAGCCCTAAACTCCAAACCCAAAACACCCTCAAGTCCCTGCACCTGCACTTACCTGAAGACTTGCTCCTTTCCTCCCAAGCACCCCCCCCCCCCCCCCCCCCCCCCCCAAGCCCCCCCCCCCCCCCCCAAAACCCCCCCACCCCCAAACCCCCCCCCCCCCACCGTGGCGATGGCGGCCGAACAGGCACCCGGTGCTGCCTTGGCGCTTCAGGCTTCTAGAGTGGCTTTAAATGGATTTTGTCATGGGGTTTTTACAAGGGTGTTGTAGGCTTGGGTGATATGATATAGGGTTATATAGGGCTTACAGGGTTTGCAGGGTTTACAGGGTATATGGGGTTCATAGGGTATCGGGCTAACTCAGGGCTTGGAGCGCTGCAAGATTGAGGGGAAGGTGTAGCTTGGGGTTTGTTGGGTCGCAGACTGAGCCTGAGCCCTAAACCCCTGCACCCTACACTCCTTTCCCTAAACCCTAAACCCTAAACCCTCAACCCTAAACCCTAAACCCTGAACCCTAAACCCTCAACCCTCAACCCTAAACCCTAAACCCTCAAGCAAGGGCCAAGGGCTCGGGCTGCCTCCGCGGGCTGCGGCGGAAGGGCCAGGGCCTACTCACACGAGCCGGGTTTAGGGGTTTAGGGTTTAGGGCTAGGGTTTAGGGTTGGGGTTTAGGGTTTAGGGTTTAGGGTTTAGGGTTTAGGGTTTAGGGTTTAGGGTTTAGGGTTTAGGGTTTAGGGTTTAGGGTTTAGGGTTTAGGGTTTAGGGTTTAGGGTTTAGGGTTTAGGGTTTAGGGTTTAGGGTATTAGGGTTTAGGGTTTAGGGTTTAGGGTTTAGGGTTTAGGGTTTAGGGTTTAGGGTTTAGGGTTTAGGGTTTAGGGTTTAGGGTTTAGGGTTTAGGGTTTAGGGTTTAGGGTTTAGGGTTTAGGGTTTAGGGTTTAGGGTTAGGGGTTAGGGTTTAGCACTGGGATCCTATCCGAGGATTCCCAGCACCGTAGGGTCTACCAAGATTTGAGCTTTACTAGGCACCCCCTTCATGATGTCAGATTCTAAACCCTAAACCCTAAATTCTTATGTTTTGCTGCTTTTTCGTTTGTTTTCTTTTGTTGGGGTGGGGGGGGGGGGGCGGTCAGGGCACTACTCGCAGGGATGCTTGGGATCCCGGCGACACCCTTCTGGGCCTTGGGGTTTACCCTGAACCCGAATAAAGCCCTTATAAAGCTTAAACCCTAAACCCTAAAGCCTAAACCCAAAACCCCAAGCCCTCAAGCCCTAAACCGGCGGGGGCGAGGGGGGGGGGTGTTAGGTCGATATGTGGGACTCGAGGTGCAACCTACCTAAAACAGCCGCGCTGCCGCTAAGGCCACCCACAACAAAACCCCCAAAACAAACCCCAAAACCCTAAACCTCAAACCCTAAACCATCCCAAAGCCCAAACTCCAAAACCAAACTCTAAAACCCTAAACCCTCATGAAACCCCAAACCCTAAAGCCTAAACCCGAAACCCTAGACCCCAAACCCTAAAAACCTAGACCTTGGACCTCCCTAAACCCTAAACCCTAAACCCTAAACCCTAAACCCTAAACCCTAAACCCTAAACCCTAAACCCGAAACCCTGCGCGCAGGGTCCTCCACTTCGAAGACCTGGGCGCTGATGCCATCGCCCAGGAGCCGGCCCTGGGAGTAGACCTGGGTTGTGGGTTTATAGGGTTTATAGTGTTTATAAAGGGGTTATAGGGGTTGTGAGTTTATAGGGTTTGTATAGGGGTTTTAAAAAGGGTTGATATAGGGGTTTTAAAAAGGGGTTATATAGGGGTTTATAGGGGTTATATAGGGGTTGTGGGTTATATAGGGTTTATATAGGGTTGATATAGGGGTTATATAGGGGTTATATAGGGGTTTATAGGGGGTTATGGGGTTTATAGGGGTTTATAGGGGTTATATAGGGTTTATATAGGGTTGATATAGGGTTGATATAGGGGTTTATAGGGGTTTATAGGGGTTATATAGGGGGTCATATAGGGGTTGTAAGGGGTTTATAGGGTTTATAGGGTTTATAGGGTTTATAGGGTTTATAGGGTTTATAGGGTTCACAGGGTTTATATAGGGGTTACAGGGGTTATAGGGTTTATAGGGTTTATAGGGTTTATAGGGTTTATAGGGTTCACAGGGTTTATATAGGGGTTACAGGGGTTATAGGGTTTATAGGGTTTATCTGGTTTAGAGGGTTTAGAGGGTTCACAGGGTTTATATAGGGGTTACAGGGGTTATAGGGTTTATAGGGTTTATCTGGTTTATAGGGTTCACAGGGTTTATAGGGTTTATAGGGTTTATAGGGTTTATAGGGTTGAAAGGGTTTATAGGGTTGAAAGGGTTTATGGGGTTTATATGGTTGGAAGGGTTGAGGGTTTAGAGGGTTTAGGGTTCAGGGTTGAGGGTTTATAGGTTAAGGGTTGAGAGGGTTGAGAGGGTTTATGGGGTTTAGAGGGTTTTGGGTCTAGGGTTGAGGGTTTATAGGGTTCAGAGGGTTGGGAGGGTTGAGAGGGTTTAGAGGCTTTAGAGGGTTTATCGGGCACACATGGCTACAGGGTTTGTACGGTTCTTCGGGCGTGTAGGGTTTGTAAGGTTTGTAGGGTTGGGGTTTAGGGTTTAGGGTTGAATAGACACCCAACCCCAAGCCTCTGAACCCTGAACACGAAAACCCTGAACCTTCAGGAGGCCCCAAAAATCCTTAAACCCTAAACCCTAAACCCTAAACCCTAAACTCTCGAACCCCCTAGAGAACGGAAACCGATCACCTCTCCGAAGTCTGAGCATCTGAATCCTCCCGCTTGAAGCATCGTTTCGACAACTGGGTTCAGGGTTTAGGGTTTAGGGTTTAGGGTTTAGGGTTTAGGGTTTAGGGTTTAGGGTCATTTGTTTAAGAACCTACCCGAACATGAGAGATACTCCTTTTAAATGGAGGCAATATAGGGACTACTATCAGCGCCTAAACTCTAAAACCTAAACCCTGAACCCAAAACCCTAAACCCTAAACCCAGTTTCCACCAAAACCCTAAAGATCCCCAAATGTCAAAACCACACCGAACAAAGTCTTTCTTAGCGTGAAGCTTCTTCGGGTGGCCTAAAGCAAGGTTGTGATTAAGCTTTTAAGGAAGCCATATGCCCTAAGGCCTAAGCCTTAAGCCCCAAACCCCAAACCGTACACGAAACCCCAAGAGCCAGTGCGTTTGCAGAGGAACCTTTGATGGCACTTGCAAGCGCAGGAACAGGAACAGGAACAGCAACTGCCCAGGCTCATCGGGAATGGTTGCTTGCGAAGCAATACTTATAAGAATAAACCCGGTTGCAGATGGCGCAGTGAATGTGGTGATTCCATCCGATCTCCTCCTCACACTGCCAGCAGTCCACACCCTCGATGAGAGATCCCACGAGCTTCGCAAAACCGAACCCCAAACCCCAAACCCCAAACCCGAACCCCCAAACCCCAAGCCCTAAACCCTAAACCCTAAACCCCAAACCCTAACCCTAAACCTTAGGGCCTTGGGTTTCGCAGGGAGCTCCGTGGTTTTGCGGCCACGGCGCCCCACTCCAGCCCAGCTCCGCGCTGCCTTCCTGGCGTTGCCGAGTTGGGCGGTTTAGGGTTGAGGGTTTAGGGTTTAGGGCCATGGGGTTTTTGTGGCTGTAGGGTTGTAGGGTTGTAGGGCTGTTAGGGTTGTTGGGGTTGTTAGGGTTGTTAGGGTTGTTGGGGTTGTAGGGGTTGACAGGGTTGTGAGGGTTGTTGGGGTTGTTGGGGTTGTGGGGTTGTGGGGTTGTGGTTGTAGGGTTGTAGGGTTGTAGGGTTGTAGGGTTGTAGGGTTGTAGGGTTGTAGGGTTGTAGGGTTGTAGGGTTGTAGGGTTGTAGGGTTGTAGGGTTGTAGGGTAGGGTTGTAGGGTTGTAGGGTTGTAGGGTTGTAGGGTTGTAGGGTTGTAGGGTTGTAGGGTTGTAGGGTTGTAGGGTTGTAGGGTTGTAGCGTAAACACAAAGTACATATGCATACACAAATATATATTTCCATCTATTTATTTATTCATTATTTATTATTTATTATTCATTGTCAAAATATAAATCTATATTTATATTTACATATCTATATGAATAGATATTATTTATATTTATATTTCTATTTCTAATTCTATTGATATTTATATTTATATTTATATTTATACCCTTCTTTAGATTGTTATTTATATTTTAGTTATGTCTATATATATATATATATATATATATATATATTTTTATTTATATTTATTTATACATAGGGAGCGAGTGAGGGAAAGAGGTGGAGAAGCACAAACTAGGATCCCCATGTCTCGTCTCAGGTTTCATGCAGGCCAAAGCCTCACAACCCTGAACCCTAAACCCTAAACTAAAGCCCTAAACCCTAAACCCTAAACCCTAAACCCTAAACCCTAAACCCTAAACCCTAAACCCTAAACCCTAAACCCTAAACCCTAAACCCTAAACCCTAACCCTAAAGCCTAAAGAAGCCTAAAGCCTAAAGCCTAAACCCTAAACCCTAAAGCCTAAACCCAAAAGCTTTTACTTTGCAATGGAACCGAGTACCCAAAAAGGCAAGGGGGGTACCTCTGGGCCCATCCCTTTCTGAACCCTAAACCAAACCCCTGAACCCCAAAACCCCTAAACCCTAAAACCCTGAACCCCCAAAACCCCTAAAGCCCCTAAAACCCCGAAAACCCCTAAAACCCCTAGAACCACTAAACCCCCGAAAAACCCCTAAAACCCGTAAACCCTTAAACCAAACCCCTAAACCCCAAAACCAGGCGTATCGGCTTTCAGCCTTCGCTGCAAGACATGGTGGGTTTCGCTTTCAGTTTGCACAGTCAATTTTCTGCCAGGCAGGGACCACTTCGCATGATGGTTTCAGCCGCGGCCTTTTTTTCGGGGTTTTGCCTTGTAGCCTCAAGGGCTACTACGCCACCCCAGTTTCGAGCCATGACGGATGGCACAGGGGCCGCAGAGAGCCTCATGGAGGCCAGGCGCGTTTACAGCGAGCAGGCCACCTTGGTACAGGGCCCAGCGTACGCCGCCTCACAGCAGTTGTTCTTCGAGCAGCGCAGGGTTGCCAAGCGCGGCCCCCCGACACCGGCCTTTTCCTCAACGGGGCTGGCCACCCCAACCGGAGACACCTTTGGCCCAACGGCTCCAACCGCCTCAGGGAGTACTCCGCCGGCAAAGCAAGACACTGGTCTTTTCCAGCCCATGCACTACCAGCAGGAGACGGCCTTTGTAGCCACAGCCCACTCCGCCGGTGTCAACGCAAACAACCCGACAGATATGGCCCTATGGATGAAGGAAACGATTTCCACCAGGGCGCAAGTCCTGGACACCATCCGGCATTACCACACCGCCGTGATCCGTCCTGAACTCTACAATTTGATCAACCAAGTTGAGGCAGCATTGGTCTCGCTGGACGATAGACTACTACGCCAATCCAAGGAGTTAGCCTGGATGGCTTCAGAGAACAGAGCCCTCCAAAAGCAAAGTGCTGCACTCATGGTCATTTTGACCGGCTGGGATACGAGCATGTCGCCCTCCGAACGGCTCTTCATGGTCAATTGGATGCTCGAGCAGATCACCCACGTCCAGGCCTTCTTGCAGCAGAGGGGGTGGGCCAACTTCGACGGCGAGTACAAGTACCTCAATGTCCTCTCTGCAGACCCGTCTACTCCGCCGGCAGGGGCACAGAAGTGGAGCTCGGTAACGCTACTCAGCTTCAAATCCTGGGACCTGAGAAAGGCGTTCATGGAGGCATATGGTGGCACTCAGGGTACCCCACTGTACAAGGATGCGCGCACTCCAGTACCCCGCCACCTCCTCCAAGCCCTCAACCTCAAGGAGGAGACCGAGCCCCGCCAGGTGGTGATCTTGTGGAAGACGCTCACGGTGATGTCGCCCCAAATGGCGCGCGGCTTTGATGAGCAAGCCACCGCCTGCGCTCGCCTCCACTACTACGCCGAGGGGGAGCAGTTCAAAGGCATCCTCGAGATCACAAAGGTCATCTCCGACTGGCTTGCAACCACTCCGCCCGATGAGTTGATGACAGAGGAGGACACGATTTGGTCCTACAGCTGGAACAAGATCGTCTTCGGGGTCCAGCAGGAGATGGATGCAGCAGAGCGCGACCACTTCGCCAACGCCAAGGCTGCAGCAAAGGGCACGGGCAAGGGGATGCTTGCTGGAAAGGGGTCCCGTCACTGGACGGCCCCGATGATCTACTCCGCCAGCTCGATGCCGTACCCGATCGACCTCGAGATCAGACTGGTGTCCCAAGTGGCCTACGTTTGGGATGAGTATTGTGATAAGTTTGGCGAAAACAGCCGCAAATGCGGCGACTACCGCCAGGCTACTTTTTCCGGAGCCCCGGTTGCGGCTACTCCGCTTCTCACGGCCCCCACGGCCTGAAGGGTTCCGGCTCGAATTCGCGATCTAGCCAGGGAGGTACGTACCTCTTTTTATCTCCAGGCTACTGCGCCGCTCCCCCACAATTTCAAGGTACTCCTCGAAGGCAACTTCACATTTGAAACTTTCTTAAAGGAATTGCTTCGAGATGTTTTAAGTCAGGGGTTGAGCAGGCCTTCCACCCACAACCACCCCGCCCCCCATATGATAAGACTTTACCCTTTCAGAGTTTCCAGGTTTTTGGGTGCCCCGGGTGTTGCACGATCGCGGTCGCACGCTGAGTTTGTGGAGGTCGCCAAACAAACCCTCACAGCTAAAGACCTGCAGTGGGATATGAGGGTTGTTCGTAGAAGCCGAAAGAGACCCAATAAACTCCCAACTAATCCTCACCTTCAAGCTTCATGCACCTACATTATCATCGCCTTCTTATGCGTCTTTTACTACACCTCAACCACTAGATCCTCTTTCCCCATTGTCCTTATGGATTCTCTGGTAGTTCATTCTACAATATGTTCACTTATCAAGTATGGGATAAGCCAGTGGGAGCTTCTGCAACAGCTACTCCGCAACAAATTACAACACATCAAAAACAGGAACACAACAACATTACAGCTAGATCTTCTAATTCCCCACAAGTACACTGAGTACCCTCAACCCACTATGGAGTACAGCTTCATTCATCAAGCCAAACTTAGCCGTGATTTTCTCCTCTCCCAACGACCCATTAGCCCCCCAAAGCTTCCCGAAAATTCCCCTTTCCCTCAACTCACTCCCAGACCCAAAATAAGAACGGGTAGGCGAGTTTCTTTTCGTTTCACAGATGGTCGTAAGGTAAACTACACCCGAAGACCACTCCGCCATTTTTCGGCCAGCCGGCCCTTCCGCCCACCAACGAATTCACAGAAGGATAGGCCAACACCGCCTCCACGAGGCACGCCGGGACCCGGGCAACCGGGAGACGAAGAGTGTATCACCCCTCCCCCCCCTTCTTCAGTCCACCCTCTAGGTTTGGGTGCCCGCTCTAGACGCCTTCGACGGCAGCTTTTCCGCCGTTGGCGCAGGAGCGTGGGTGGGCCTATATTACCAGAAGCGTCGGGCAGCGCACTGGTTAAAGGGGGGGTGCCCTTGAAAGCAGTCAAAAGTAGGCGCCAAACCGGGGTACGAAATTCGTACCTTTTCAAAACCCTCATACTAAGGCCTGAACAAATCGGCAAGCAAAAAAAGGCTACTCCGCCAGCAGTAGCCCCACCACCCTTGCCGTATGGACAACCTTTTAAAATAGGTACACAAAACGTACAGGGAATGGCCGAAATACTAAAACACCAGTCAGTCCTCACTTTACTCCGTAGTAGAAAGCTTGACGTCCTTTTCCTCACCGAAACACGCAACACAACATACCACCAATTCACCTCAGAGGGGCACAGGTTCATTAGCAATGGCAGTAACAAGGACAAGTTCGCAGGAGTGACAGCAATCATTCCCCCCCAAACTCTACCACACCTCAAAGATGTAGTTCAGCATAGTGCGAGGATCCTTCAAATCACACTAGCAGCATCGGCCGGAGATGTACACCTCATAGGAGTCTACTCCCCACACAATAAACGAGATGTTGAAACTAGCAAGCTCCCCTTCTGGGATAAGCTAGACTCAGTATTGCACAAAATTCCTCAACCAGAGCCGGTTTATATCATAGGGGACTTCAATGTGAGACTACAAGGTAGAAAACCAGATGAACATCACATGTTGGGCCCCAATGTATATGGTAAGGGAAGACTCAGTATACCAACCACAGAAGGTAACAACAGAGAGCTCTATCTGAGATTCCTGAGTACCTCTGAAGCTAAGGATGTTCTAACCTACAAGCAGAGTAACCTTCTGAAGCACATCACATACCGAGATAAATCCCCTCCCCCATTAGATTGGCTCACGTTCTCTAGTGACCCCATAGGATGGCTACCAATTTGGGATAGATTTCAAAGCTTGCCCCAGTCAGAAAATGAGAACCTAAAGGTCGCAGGGAAAGTCAGGGATTACCTCACTTGCTACTCCGCCTTAGTGCCCGAACAACAACGACCAACCATCGACCCGCACAGATTCCAGGCACTGGACCGTTTGGTCACCAGATCCAAATGGTTACCTACGGTTCAACAATGCCAAGCAGTTCATAGCACAGGATTTGTTAGTGACCATTATCTTCTAGAATCAGTCATTCGGGTTAAACTCAAAGCCCAACCACCCTCCACAATCAAACCTCCTGCAAGAGATTACTCCGCCATAGACTACTCCGCTAAAACCCTGTTCAATCACACGTTTAAAAAATGTACCAAACACAAATCAATACCCAATCTCAACACAACTGACGCCAATTGGGCGGTATACACGGATGGGTCGGGAAGCAAAGGCCGTTGCTCGGCCACTACTCCCGCAGGCTGGGGCTACACAATCATAACAACCAATCAAGATTCAATTGCCTCAAAAGGTCCAGTCAGCACTGATCCACATGCAGCAGTTCACCTAGGAGCGACAGTAGGCAGTAATAATACAGGAGAGCTAAGCGCCTGGATGGAAGCGGCATTGTACATACTAACATTGACCACTCTGCCTAAACAAATTTCCTTCTACTACGACAGTCGTTGGATGTCAGACGCTGTCAGGGGTAGATCTAAGGCTAAAAGACACAAAACCATGATTAAATATGCACGTATCTTATTGGCAGAGTTGCAAAACCGCACTACAGTAGATTGGTTTTGGGTCAAAGGCCATTCAGGAGACCACTTTAATGAAATAGCGGACAGGTTAGCAGAAGAAGGAAAACAAATACCTGATCCAGTGGGAGGTAGGCACGACATCACCCCTCTTCTCACCCCCTCGGAGTTCATTGAACCAGTACAATCTACTGACCACTCCGCGTTGGAACGCCTCAATTCCACATTAGTACGAGCTCTGCACAAAGCTGAGTCGCAACACATACCACTACTGAAACGCAAGCCCAAGCAGCCCTGGATGACGCAGGAACTACTACAACAGTTCCATGAAGTTAGGCACCTAAAATCCATTGACCACTCCGCCCATATCAAAAAACACAAACTCCTTAAAAAACAGGCCCGTAAAATAAAAAGGGATTGGACACGCGAGCAGTTGCTTACTGACCCCAACCCGTCACACACCAAAATCTGGAAACAAGTCCAGAGCTTCAAAAAAAGTTTTAGAGCTAGGAGAACCAGACTAAAAGTTTCAGGCACACCAGTCCCATGGACGAACACCCACAAAATCTTTAGAGATCACCTCCAGAACAACCAGTGGTCCCCACCGGACGTCACCGAGGAGGAAATCGAACTACTCCGCTCTTCCCCCCCGCTTTACAAGACCGACGAACTTGACCCCCTCCCCTTTCAACATGAAGAACTCTACGCTGCCATCCAGGGTATAAGAAAAGGCAGGGCCCCAGGACTAGACGGCGTAAAGGGAGAAATAATATTACTCCTCGACCACTACGGTGAAACCCAGCTACTCCGCCTTATGAACGCTTGCCTCAGAGCCAGGAAGGTCCCCTCTTCATGGAAAGAAGCGCTCGTGGTAAGCATCTACAAGGGAAAGGGATCAGACTCAGACCCCTCCAATTACAGGCCGATCTCCCTTCTAAACACGTTTTACAAAATCTACTCCGCCATGCTGCAAAAAAGACTAGCCACTTAACACGACGCACAACTACGCTCCACCCAGTATGGCTTCCGTGCAAAAAGAAGTACAAAACTGCCATTGTTTATCCTGCGCAGGCTCCAAGATTACTCCGCCAAAACAGGTCAGCCTTTCCAACTTCTCTTTTTAGATTGGAAACAAGCGTTCGACAAAGTTAGCCACCCCGCCATGATGGTCGCCCTGAAAAGATTAGGAGTGCACCCCACTTACATTGAAATCATAACAGACCTCTACACCGACCCCCAATTTTGCACTCAAGGATTCTCTCAAGAGAAAAGTTGGGGCACGCCTAAAAGTGGCATACGACAGGGCTGTCCACTCAGCCCTTACTTGTTCATCATGATCATGACAGTATTGTTCCACGACATCGACGCTCGGCTTAGGAGCGAGGGTACACCGCAAAACACTTGGTCAATAGGCAAGCCCATTTATGATCTAGAATACGCAGATGATACTCTTCTAATGGCAGTCACGGCACCACAGCTCGAATCATTTTTGGCATGCGTACAGGTAGAAGCATCTTTATATGGATTACAACTCAATTACACGAAAACCGAACTACTCCGCCACCCCAGCGCACAGGCAGACATCAGCTTTGCCGATGGCACACCAGTGCCTGTAAGCGATCAGGTTAAATATTTGGGCTCTAGGATCAGCTGGACTACTCCGCCAAAAATCGCCATTCAGCATAGAATGGAACTAGCTCACTCCTCATTCATGAAGCTCCAACACATATGGCAAAGTAAACTACCCATTAAAGTAAAAACCCACATCTTCCATAGCTGCATTGTTCCTGTCCTGCTATACTCCCTGGATGTCCTCACACTAGAAACCCACTCCTTCAAAAAAATCGACGCCTGGTACCATAGGTATCTTAGACGCTCCATTAAAATCAAATCCTCGTACTACTCACACATATCCAACCAGAAGGTTTGGAAAATTGCAGGCAAGCCATGTTTGCCCTCCCAAACACTGCTGGCGCAACAATTTGGATTACTCCAGAGCTCTATATTAGCAAGCCCCCAGGACCCCATTCACCATGTAGTGTTCTCTCCCGGATACAAGGACCGAATCAGATTTACTAAGGCCCGCACAAGAGGACACCCCTGTAGATATTGGTTTGAATTAGTTTCCACGGAAGCAGTAAGGTTTTATAACCACCACTCCGCCGCAGACCCAGAAGCCCGAAGGGACTTCCTGGGCCTAAAACATTTAATATCCAAAGACACACGGTTTGGCGACCTCTTACGCACTGCGCCAACGCGCGCGCCGAGTATTTTCCCTATGTACAGCAAGCATGTTGGAAGCGCATGGCAGCCCTAAAAAAAAAAACCCAAAACCCTAAACCCTAAACCCCTAAAACCCACAACCCCTAAACCCCCAAAACCCTAGAGCTCTCAACCCTAAGCCAACCCTAAACCCCTAAAACTCCCAAACCCCGAAAACCCAAAAGCCACAAAAAAAAAAAAACAAAACCCAAAAAAACCCAAGAACCCCAAATCAATCCCCAAAACTCCTAAACCCCTAAAGCTCCTAAACCCCGAAAGGCCCCGAAAACCCACAAAAACCCAAGAACCCCAAAATAAATCCCTAAAACTCCTAAACCCCTAAAACTCCTAAACCCCGAAAACCCAAAAAAAACCTAAATCCCCAAATAAATCCTAAACCCTAAACCCTCAACCCTCAACCCTCAACCCTAAACCCTAAACCCTAAACCCTAATCCCTAAACCCTAAACCCTAAAGCCTCAACCCTAAACCCTAAACCCTCCCCCCCCGCGCCCGCGGCGGCTCCGCAGTGCGAGGGGCCCGGGGCGTCTGAGCGCTGGCGGCCACCTCGCGAAAAAGGGGTTTTGGGACTAGGGTTTAGGGTTTAGGGTTTAGGGTTTAGGGTTTAGGGATAAGGGTTTGGGGTTTAGGGTTTAGGGTTTAGGGTTTAGGGTTTAGGGATAAGGGTTTGGGGTTTAGGGTTTAGGCCAGATTAGGGATAAGGGTTTAGGGTACTTTGAGGTTGTACCCGGAGCATATGTTAGGGAAACCTTTAGGGGTGCAACCTTGGGGGTGCAAGTCCTGATCCCCTGACGTTGGCTCTCGAGGTAGTCGCAAAGGCTAAGGGGTTTGGGGCGTTTAGGGCTATTTAGGGTTTAGGGGGTCTGGGGTGGGTGTAGGGTTTTTAGCGGTTTGGGGTTTAGGGCAGAGCTTGGGGTGCAGGGGTTTAGGCGAATTTAGGGTTGGTTTGGGCGTTTAGGGGTTTCAGGGTTTAAGGTTCTACAGTAGGGTTTAGCATGAGCCTGGTCTTCATAGTTGGCAAAACCGGACCCGAGACATGGTGTCCCCCAAGCCCTAAACCCTAAACCCCTAAACCCCTAAACCCCTAAACCCCTAAACCCCTAAACCCCTAAACCCCTAAACCCCTAAACCCCTAAACCCCTAAACCCCTAAACCCCTAAACCCCTAAACCCCTAAACCCCTAAACCCCTAAACCCCTAAACCCCTAAACCCCTAAACCCCTAACCCCTAAACCCTAAACCCTAAACCCTAAACCCTAACCCCTAAACCCTAAACCCTAAACCCTAAACCCTAAACCCTGAAAACCCCAGCCTGGAAGGCGTTGCAATGGAAGGCGACCCATGGCTCGCTGTCAAACCTTCCACGGCTTAGGGTTTCAGGGGTTTGGGGGTTTAAAAGGGTCGAGGATTGGGGTTTAGGGTTTAGGGTTGAGGGTTTAGGGTTTAGGGTTTAGGGTTTAGGGGTTTGTGGTTTAGGGTTTTGGCTTACTTTTTAGGACTTAGGGTGTAGGGTGTAGGGTTTAGGGTTTGGGGTGCATCTACGAACCCCCAAAGCCCCAGGGTTTGAAGACCATGCAATATAGGGGAAAAAGGGCTTGGTCTCAAAACCAATACCGTGCCCCTAAAATTAGACCCCCCCCCTACCCCCCCAAGTATTAAACGCCCACCCATATTCTATAATGTAACCACAATGGGAGTATTTAATCTTAGTGGCTCCCAAAGGATTGACGAAAAGGGCCCCCCCAACCCAAGGGTACCACCTTAGGGTACCGAAACCCTAAACCCTACACCCTAAAGAACTTGGAAGACCGGCCTGGCCCCGCGAGGGATTTGGCTTGGACGAGGCGGTCCCGCATCAGGCACCTGGCAGGCGCTTGGGGTTTAGGGTTTGGGGTTTGGGGTTTAGGGTTTAGGGTTTAGGGGTTAGGGGTTAGGGGTTAGGGGTTAGGGTTTAGAGCTCAGAGAGTGACTAGTTCCGGGTTTGTGTTTAGGGTTTGGGGCTCAAAGTTTAGCTGGTTTAGGGTTTAGTATGGTTTGGGGCTCAAGGTTTAGCTGGTTTTGGGTTTAGTATGGCTTGGGGCTCAAAGTTTAGCTGGTTTTGGGTTTAGGGTTTAGGGTTTGGGGTTTAGGGTTTGGGGTTGAGGGTTGCCCAGTAACCCAGGGTTAAAAGGGGTGCCCATTTTTGGCTGATAGGGGTATATATGGGAGCCTAAACCCCCCCAAAAAAGGGAATAAGGGTACTGCTGGGCATCCGAGTTTAGGGATTTAGGGTTTTAGGTTCGGGGTTGAGAGGTCTAGGGCTTCAGGGTTCCTGTTAGGCTTTGGGATCTCGGGCTTTTGGGTTAAGGTTTTAGGCTTAGGGTTTAGGTTTTAGGGTTTTAAGGTTTATGAAGAGCCAGAGGCGCGCGAACATTCGCGCAGGGCGCGCAGCTCTGGCCCATGGCGGGGACGGAGGGGGGGGGGTGTGTGTTGCGGATAGGTGTGGCAGACGGGGCCCTCATAAGTTGAAGGTTGGTTTTGGGGCTTAGGGTTTGGGGGTCCAGGGCTTAGGGTGAAAGGGGCTTCGGGGTTCAGGGGTTGAGGGTGTAGGGCTCTCAGGCTAGGTTGTCGTGGAGTCCTAGGGGTGTTGAGGAAAGCTCAGGCGGCCTTCCAGGAAGACCAGGTGGGGGGGACCCATGTGGCTCAGCTACCCCGAACCCCTAAACCCTAACCTTGTTGTTGGGCTGTATGATTTAGGGAGAGACTCTTGATCTGAAATGAGACGCCTGGCTGACTCCTAAAGCTTGAAGCTGCGATCGGGAGCGCGCATCCTTTCAAAGAGGGCCCATAGGGTTTAGGGTTTAGGGTTTAGGGTTTAGGGTTTAGGGTTTAGGGTTTAGGGTTTAGGGTTTAGGGTTTAGGGTTTAGGGTTTAGGGTTTAGGGTTTAGGGTTTAGGGTTTCGGGTTTAGAGTTGAGGGACGAGGCTTCCAGAGCCAACTTTCAAGCCGCGCTTTGCACCTTGAGGCGCACGGGCTCTCGCTCAGGGTCGCCGGAATTTGACAGCGCCACGTTGCTGGTTTAGGGTTTAGGGTTTAGGGTTTAGGGTTTAGGGTTTAGGGTTTAGGGTTTAGGGTTTAGGGTTTAGGGTTTAGGGTTTAGGGTTTGAAAACGCTACGGATCGCTACGGGCTTTGTCAGTTTTAGGCCCTAAACCCTTAAACAAACTCAAAGAAGATTCGCTGGATGTAGACAGGTGGCGCTGACCTCTACTAACAGCCGCGTGTTACGGCCGCATAACAGCTACCTGGGACCCCTCTTTACCTCCAGATTCTCTGGGCTCTATACCTGCTAATCATATGAGTAGTTGACAGTCACTGTAGGAAAAACTAAGGGTAGCTACTACCAAACCTGCTAATTGAGGGTTTAGGGTTTAGGGTTTAGGGTCTAGGGTCTAGGGTCTAGGGTTTAGGGTTTAGGGCTACCACTAAACCGTAGGTCAAGAGAGTCCCAGCTAATCCCAGCAGCGCCCGCGGATCTCGGGGGTCGGGTCGCAGAGGCCCTTTGTAGGGTCTATATAGGGTTTTATAGGGTTTTAGAGGGTTTTATGGGGTTTGTATAGGGCTTTAAAGGGCTTCATAGGTTTTTTATGGGGGGGCTTAGAGGGTGTTATAGGGTTTGAGGAGTTTTTTCGGGCTTTAGAGGGTTATGGGGGTTTATAGGGTGTTCAAGGGTTATAGGGTTGTAGGGTTAGAGGGTTTTAGCGTTATAGAGTTAGAGCGTTATAGGGTTAGAGGGTTATAGGGTTTAGGGTCTAGGCTGCTGGTGCCCCTACCCCTCCGACGCCCAGAGGGGCCTCATAAGCGTGTCGCAGAGATCCGCCGGCGCCGAGGCCGTTATCACAGGCAACTCGCGCGGTCGAAGTTAGCTTCGGTTGAGGCTTCGGCCCTGGGTCCCATAGGGTTTCATTTAGGGTTTAGGGTTTAGGGTTTAAGGCTTAGGGTTTAGGGTTTAGGGTTTAGGGTTTAGGGGTTGAAGGTCTAGGGATTGGGGCAGCTTCCGAGGTAGTCTTGCAGACCCCCGCCCCCACCCCACCAAAGGTGCAAGGACAGGCCCCAGGACCGAATGAAACCCAACCGGTGGACCACGAAGTGCCCAATCTCCGCGTGCAACTTGTCATCATCCGGCCGCCCCCTCCATGCTCCTTTTGCTCCTGACCAGGGGTTTGAAGAGCACGGGAAGGCGAAGGCACCTATCTGTCTCTTAGCAGAATATCAGGAGATAACGAGGGTCCTCAAGAACGGGAAATAGCCTTGCATCATGTGATCTCCATCTTGCCTATGGCGAAACTGCTTGGTTAACGGAAGCAGAGTGGCCCCTGAGCCCTTTTCAGCTACAATTTGCGTAAGAACCCCCCAACGCATAGAAGTAGTCTTCCTTTGACAGGGTGATATAGGCATTATTGTCTTCAGTGTTTTTTGGGGGGCTCTGCAGCAAATGGTAGAGAGTTTGCGCTGTATATCTGTCCCCTGAACCCTAAACCCTAAACCCTAAACCCTAAACCCTAAACCCTGAACCCTAACCCTGAACCCTAAACCCTAAACCCGGCTCGCCCAGGGGTTTTTTTGAAGGTGGCTGCAGTCCCGCGCTTGGCGAAGAAGTTGACGCGCCAGAGCCTGGGCTCTTCCGTACTTTGAGGTTCATGGTACTTATTTACCAACGCCTAAACCCTAAACCCTAAACCCTAAACCCTAAACCCTAAACCCTAAACCCTAAACCCTAAACCCTAAACCCTAAACCCTAAACCTCTACTAGGGTTTAGGTTTTAGGAGTTAGGGCCTAGGGTTTAGGGGTTTATAACCCACCTATCAGCCCCTTAAGTGCCCTAAGATGGTTCCAAGGTGTTCTACGTACAGTTAAAAATTGGTTCATAAGTACCCTAAACCCTAAACCCTAAACCCTAAACCCTAAACCCTAAACCCTAAACCCTAAACCCTAAACCCTAAACCCTAAACCCTAAAGGAGCAAGGATTTGGGGTCTAGGGGATTTTCTTGAGGAAGTTGAGCTCTGGGACTGAATTGGGTTTAGGGTTTAGGGTTTAGGGTTTAGGGTTTAGGGTTTAGGGTTTAGGGTTTAGGGTTTAGGGTTTAGGGTTTAGGGTTTAGGGTTTAGGGTTTAGGGTTTAGGGTGTAGGGTTTAGGGTTTAGGGTTTAGGGTTTATGGGTTAGGGGTTTAGGGTTTAGGGTTTAGGGTTTAGGGTTTAGGGTTTAGGGTTTAGGGTTTAGGGTTTAGGGTTTAGGGGTTTGGGTGTCAGGACCTGGGCCCACTGGAGCGCGACCTTAAGAGTCTCGGGGAGGGTTGACTTAGGGTTTAGGGTTTAGGAACCCTACTAAACCCTAAACCCTAACCCTAATCCCTCAACCCTAAACCCTAAACCCTGAACCTGGAGCCCAGTATGCCGTCTAACTAAGGAGCAAACCTTGTAATGCTGAGGGTCTGCTAGGTATCCGTGTTTGGATTTGAGGGGATTAGGCTCCCAAGGCCCAGTTTAGTGGTGTATTGGGCTCTCCATGCAAGAACCTCGAACACCCTGAGCGCGGCAAGCAAATCGCGCCCAACATCTCGCCATTCTGAGGGCGGCACATGGTGTAGCCCTGCGCATGCTTCAAGTGCATTTTGGCGGGCGGATGCGAAGGGGAACTACAGGTTCGGCTACTTTCGGGTTTGGGGCTCGGGGTGTAGGGGTTACTCTTGAATGAAGGGGGGTCAAGATGCTGCCCTTCTGGTGAGCAGATACCCCCTCTCTTCTCTATACTCCCCTTATAGAACCTTAATTGTATCTTTAATATCCTCTTGGGTTTTGTATAAACAAAACCAAAAAATAATTCCCAAGGGGATATAGTTCTGTTCAGGTTCATATTCAAGCACCACACCTTGCAGACACTCTGTGGCATCGGCCTGGGAGCTCAGTAGCAATACTCAGGGGCTGCGGTGCCCTAGCCAAGAAAGGGGCTAGTTGATCTGTTACTAGGATGGCCCTTAAAACCCTCTGAAAAATATTCCTGAATATGACCCTCTTAAACCCAATAAGGGAAAATAAAAAAATGTCCCAGTGGCCTGCCTAGGTTATATTGCTGGCCCATTTGACTTCTTTGGTTGTTCAGGTTGTTCATGCCCAAGCCTGGCACTTTGTGAGCCCGCCACCAATCCCACGTTCAGCGACTCGTATTCCAGATGTCCTTCTATCCCCCCCCGTGGCCCGCAGTGGCAACAGACCCTGGAAAAAAAGTATATACTTTTTAGGTAATAAGTAGCTATAATAGGAACCCAGAACCAAAAAAAGTATTAAAGTATAGTACTCCAAAACCCAGGGCATCCCCTGAAGCCGAGGTGCGTGAGCGAACTTCGACATGTTCGAGACGTCTTTGGTCCTGCGCGAGGGTTTGGGGTTTAGGGGCTTAAGTTCTCGGAGTTCTCGGGTCTGGGCTTCAAGGAACTTCAAGGTCTTGGGTGTACACTGGCCTACGCTGCATGGCATGACTTACAACCTTCTGAGCCTAAGACCCGAAGGCACGACGGTCCTACACCCCAAACCCTGAACTCTTCGCGCAACGGCCTGGAACGGAGACAGATCTGACTGCAAGAATGGCTTAGAACCCCCAAAAAATCTCAAAAAAAACTTCCTTATAAGGTAATATAGGGATTATTATTTTCTTTTTTTGGGGGGGGTCATAAGCAAATAATAGATTATGAGCCCCTTCTTCTGGACGCCCTTTCAAGATGTAAAAAGCGTCGGCTTTCAGGTGTTTCAAGGGGCTCTGGAGAAAATAAGAAAACCGGGAGCCCTAAACCGTAAACCCTAAACCCTAAACCCTAAACCCTAAACCCTAAACCCTAAACCCCCTGAAGCCCGCCTCTCCCAGCGACTTCGCTTCCCGTATCGCAGGAACTCCCGCGCCGACAGGGCCTTGCTCTCGATGGCCTTCGGGGTTAGGGGTTTGGGGTTTAGGGTTTAGGGTTTAGGGTTTCTGGCTATGAATTGCTTAGAACCCCCCAAAAACTAAAACATATTCTTCCTTATAAGGTAAAATAGGGGTTGTCTTTTTTTTTTTGGGGGGGGGGGGGGGGGATTCTTAAGCAAATAGTGGCTGGGGGTTGTGTGTTAGGTTTTGGGGCTTGGGGTTTGGGGTTTAGGGTTTACGCTTTGGGGTTTAGGGATTGGGGTTTAGGGTTTAAGGGTTGGGCTTGGGGTTTGGGGTTTGGGGTTTGGGGTTTAGGGTTTAGGGTTTAGGGTTTAGGGTTTAGGGTTTAGGGTTTAGGGTTTAGGGTTTAGGGTTTAGCGTTTAGGGTTTAGGGTTTAGGGTTTGGGCTGCTTTGCGTGTTCTACCAAAAGTACAAACTACTCTTGGCTGCGCTTAGGAGGGTAACCATAATTTCAATTTCTAGCTGCTTTACTAGGAAACCCACTAAGCCTAAGAAGGCTAAGGATCTAAAGTTACAGTAAAGCACCACAAAGAAAAAAAGTATAAACTACTGTTTGAGAAGCTTGCGCACCGACGGGTTCATGCACAATGGCGGCATCGGTCTGAGCTACCTCTGCCTCAGGGTTTAGGGTTTAGGGTTTAGGGTTTAGGGTTTAGGGTTTAGGGTTTAGGGTTTAGGGTTTAGGGTTTAGGGTTTAGGGTTTAGGGTTTAGGGTTTAGGGTTTGCCAAGCTGAAACCCTAAACCCTAAACCCTAAACCCTAAACCCTAAACCCTAAACCCTAAACCCTAAACCCTAAACCCTAAACCCTAAACCCTAAACCCTAAACCCTAAACCCTAAACCCTAAACCCAACCTCAGTCGTCTAGAGCCGTCGACGGACCGCAAAAGGAGATTGTCCCACCCCAAACGCCTGAACCCTAAGACCCTCAAAACTGGCTGGCTCTTAGTCTCAGTAGCTCAGTAACCATATTATAATCAGGGCACCCTTTTTTGGGGGTGGTTGTTTCTTTGGAATCCATAACCAAAAAACAGGGTAAAGGGTACCACTGGGCCACCAAGTACTAAGTAGGGAACGTAGGAATGAGGTACCCCATAATGATCCTTTTAAAGAATATGTATAGGGCCCTAGGGTTTAGGGTTTAGGGTTTAGGGTTTAGGGTTTAGGGTTTAGGGTTTAGGGTTTAGGGTTTAGGGTTTAGGGTTTAGGGTTTAGGGTTTAGGGTTAGGGTTTAGGGTTTAGGGTCTAGGGTTTGGGACTCAAGATGCCTGGTGGGCGGCCACACTGGGCTTGGGCGGCTCGAGCGGGGGGCCTTCTAGAACTCTTGCGGTTGGGAAGGGCAATCGCAAGTTCGAGGGGCTTTGGGCTTGGGGTTTAGGGCCTAGGGTTTAGGGCGTATAGGGTGTAGGGTTTAGGGTTTTTGCGTAGGCTTGGAGTGGCATAAAATACACAAGTAGAAGGGCACAGACGAGTTTGGGTTGCTGAAGGCCTCGCTTGAGGCATCCAAGAAAGCTCCAGAGGGCCCTAATCCCTTCCACGAGAAAAATGTTGAAAACAAGATCTCAGAGATTTCCCTAAGGCAGTGTGATGTACTTGCAAAATCACCATCTGCAAGATCTTGCCATAACAGATTGCTACATACGCTCAGATACCACAGGTTCAAGTCTTAAGTTTACGGGAGGGGGGGGTAAATCCTGAGGGGTTCATACCGAGGTTGCGCAGAACAAAATGCGCGCCCTTCTTTGCTCCATGGTGTTTGGCTGTACTAACGCATAGAGAGTAAGAGTCCTTCTGCACACCTTAGCTACACTCTGAACTGTCAGCTCGAACCCCCATACTCCCAAACCCTAACCCCAAAACCCAAGCGACTTTCTCTCTGGAGTTCAGAGGCTATGCTTTGCTAGTTAACTTAAGAGGAATTGAGGGCATGAAGTTCGACTAAACCATCCGACGCATTGAGGCACCACATCCTTTCATATATATATATATAGTCCCCAGATACCTAAGTAGCCCCTAAACAAGCCCCAAAGAACCCCTAAGGTCCCTCATAAGGGTCCCTCGTTGAGTCCCTTGATTCACAGGCAACCGAGCTCCCCAATTCCGTACGCAAACTCGAGCCCTCGAACCCCGAGAGTCCCGTGAAGAAACCCTTAACCCTAAACCCTTACGCCCTAAACCCTAAACCCCTAAACCCTGAACCCCTAAACCCTGAACCCCTAAACCCTAAACCCTTAAACTCTTAAACCCTAAACCCTAAACCCTAAACCCTAAACCCTGAACCCTGAACCCTCAACCCTAAACCCCAAGGGCACTGTGGATCCGACCTGGCCAGGCGTCCTGGACCGCCTTTCGCGGGAACTTCCGCAAGCCGGCCCTGGTGGGCACTGGGTGTGAAAGGGATTTTAGGGTTTAGGGTTTAGGGTTTAGGGTTTAGGGTTTAGGGTTTAGGGGGGTGCCGAGGGAGGAGGGGGGAAATTAGGGGCCGGGGAAATGAGGGGCAATTGACAGGGGTAACCGGGGGTAGTAGGTACTAGGGGGTAATAATGGGCGGTGTGGGGTTGTTCGGGATTTGGCGTTGTTCGTATTTAGGGCTCAAACCCTAAAACCCCCGAAGAAGTATCCGGGCTGTCCCCAACCCTATAAAGCATGAAAACGCTAAGCCGCCGGAATCCTAAACCCTTAATGCGCCAAACCCCTAAACCATAACAACCCAAAACCCCAAACCCCCTACACCCCTAAAAATTCTGAAAACCCGAACAACCCTAACAGCCACCCTACCGAAAGCCCTAACAACCCTAAAAACCCAGAAAAAAAATTAAAAATGAACGCCCTGACAAACCTAACAAACCCTAACAACCCTAACAAACCCTAAACTCCAAACCCCCTAAACCCTTAAAACCCTGAAAACCCCTAAAAACCCTAAAACCCCTAACAACCTTAAAACACCCAAAAACCCGAACCACCCTAACAACCCTAAAAACACCGAAAACCCCAAAACCCTAACAACACCAACAAACCTAAAACCCCCTAAAAACCCAAACAACCCTAACAAACCCGAACAGCCCTAACAACCCTAACAACCCTAAACCCCAAACCCCCTAAGCCCTTAAGACCCTAAGAATCCTAAAAACCCTAAAGCCCCTAAAACCCCTAACAACCTGAAAACCCCTAACAACCCTAAAAGCCCCAACAACCCTAAAAACCCCCAAAAAACCTTAAAAACCCTAAACCCCAAACCCCCTAAACCCTCAAAACCCTCAAAACCCAAAAAAACCCGAAAAACCCTCAAAACCCTAAACCCTAACGACATGTTCGGACCCGAAGCTGCTGGCACTCCCATCTTGACACCCCAGATAGACTTCCCTTACAGGGACCCCCGAAAAGGGTATCCCTAAGCCCTAAACCCTAAACCCTAAACCCATCTGTGGCCCCAAGCGATGGACCCGGATGCGCCGAGCTGGCCGTCGATGGGGCCGTCGAAGGCGACGGGCTGGGAGAGAATCCGGTTGGGTGTTGGAGGGTTCTGGGAAGAAACCTTAGGGTTTAGAGTTTAGGGTTTAGGGTTTAGGGTTTAGGGTTCAGGGTTGCAGCCCCGCCCTGCATGCAGATAGCCTCCGCCCTGCCTCGGCAGCACAGCTGTCGGCTCCAGTGCTGCGGCCTCTCTAGGGTTTAGGGGTTTAGGGGTCTAGGGTTTCAAGGGTTTAGGGTTTAGGGTGAAGGGTTTAGGGTTTAGGGTTTAGGGTGTAGGGTTTAGGGTTTCGGGCTTAGGGCTTAGGGTTTTGAGCCCCCCCACACCCCCCCCCCCCTACCCCTTATCCAGGGCCCCAAGGTTCACGGTTTAAGGTTCGAGGGTTAAGGACAAAGGGTGTAAGGTTTGTCAAGAAGTTCATCTATAGACGATATGCAATGTCCTCGGCTTGTTATTTTACGTAAGCCCTTCATGTCAGGTCCCGGTGTTTGTGTCATAGTTCACACTTTTTTACTGCTGAGCACCTAAGCCCCTAAACGACCCTAAACCCCTAAAACCCTAAGCCCCTAAACCCTTAAACCCTTAAACCCCTAAACCCCTAAACCCCTAAACCCCTAAACCCCTAAACCCCTAAACCCTACGCCCTAAAACCCGAAAACCCTAAAACCCTAAAACCCTAAAACCCCCAAAACCCCCAAAACCCTCAAACCCCCCAAACCCCCCAAACGCCCCAAACCCCCGAAACCCTAATCCCTAATCCCTACCCTAAACCCTAAACCCTAAACCCTAACCCCAAACCCTAAACCCTAAGCCCGAGGTGGCCTCCGCCATCTGTCGGCGCAGCTGCCGCCTTTGCCGCCGGAGGCGGCCCACGCCCGGAAACCAGGGCAGAGCCTGCCCAAAGAGCCCACCACCCCGGTTCAGGGTTTAGAGTTTAGGGTGTAGGGTATAGGGTTTAGGGTTTAAGGTTCAGGGTTTGAGTTTACAGGGTTTGAGTTTAGGGTTTTGGGGTTTAGGGTCCAGGAGTTTAGGGTTTAGGGCATTTTTGAGCTGAGGGGTTGAAGGATTGGGGGGAGGGGGGGGGGGGCGCTTGGGATTTAGGAGCCGCGGGGTTCACTGCGAGCCTGAAATTTGGGTTTAGGGTTTAGGGTTTAGGGTCTAGGGTCTAGGGTCTAGGGTTTAGGGTTTAGGGTGTAGGGGTGTAGGGGTGTAGGGTGTAGGGGTGTAGGGGTGTAGGGGTGTAGGGGTGTAGGGGTGTAGGGGTGTAGGGGTGTAGGGGTGTAGGGGTGTAGGGGTTTAGGGTTAAACTTCTTGTACTTTGATGCATGTATGGGGCGAGCAAGGGTGACATTTCAGGATGCTAAGGCACTGAACGCCACAACGCCGCAAGGGAACGCCTTAAAAGCCAAAGAAGTGTTGGCAGCACCTCGGATTTAACCGCGAGTTAACCCTAAACTCGACACCCCTGAACCCGAAACCTAGTAGGTTGGGCGCCAGGAAGAGACGCCTGCTAGTAAATGCCTGCAAAAAAACGTAGGTGTTGGGGTTAAGGTCGGGTCTACTTGGCGGTTCATGGTGCTTACTAACCAGTCCTCACTGTACTTATAACCGTACTTATAACCAACCTAGGTCACTTAGGGGCTTATAAGTGGGTGATAAGTACAGTTGTACTTGGTTACTAGATACCCTGAACCTCCAACTAGGGTATCTCCGAAAGAGGTAGAAGAAGGTTCGATCCTGGCCCTAAACCCTGAAGCCCTTCGAACCCTAAACCTTGAACCTCAGGCACCCCCGAACAAAGACTGCAAGAGGCTGCCCCTAGACCCTAATCCTTAATCCCTAAACCCTAAACCCTAGACCCTAGACCCTAAACCCAAAACCCAAAACCCCTAAACCCCCAAACCCCCAAACCCCTAAACCCCAGAACCCCCTAAACCCCAGAACCCTCCACTGGGGGCTCCCGGCGCGCTCCGCAGGGGTCGGCCGCAGCTCAACAGGGACCTGCCAACGGCTTGTGACAAAGCGTCGGCCTTGGGTTTGAGGGTTTGAGGCTTTAGAGGGTGTAGAGGGTTTAGAGGGTTTACAGGGTTTAGAGGGTTTAGAGGATTTGGAGGGTTTGGAGGGTTTAGAGGGTTTAGAGGGTTGGGGTCGAATCTGGAAGGCCACACAGACGTGCGCTTGCGCTACGTCGGAGGGCCGAGGCGAACACATGAGCTAACTCTTATAAATAGGGTTCGTGGGGGACTTAGGGTTTAGGGATCGGGTTTAGGGTTAGTTAGGGTTGGGGGGTAGGTACCCAGGGAACTTTAGCGAAGCTTTGGGGCCCTCAGAGAATAGGGAGCATTAGGGAACCTTGAACCCCCCTCCCTCAAGAACCCTATCAAAAAGCATATTCCACTAACTGCAGCAAGGGTGCGCGGTTTAGGGCTTTCGGGCCGAATACGGGAAATCCTGAGTTCCGGAGTTACTGGAGACTTATCCCTAAACCCCTCAACCAAGAGAAACTAAACCTTTCACCCCAAACCCCCCAAGGAAAACCCTTGAAAATACAACGGGGAGTAGAGGTTTGCCTAACGAAATGTAAAGGAAACTTCGGCTTGCATATCAAGATATGAATGTAACAGAGCTTTTCCTACTGTAGAGCCTGGACCCTACTTGGAGGTTCTGGGTACTTGTAACCCGAATTCCAACTGTACTCAGAAGCCCCCCAAGTCCTCTAAGTAGGTTGTAAGTAAACGTCTAGTTGTGGTTAGAAACCCTAAACCCCAAGCCCTCAGCCCTGAGCCCTGAGCCCTAAGCCCTAAGCCCTAAACCTGAAGCAGACTTTTCATTGGGGGTGATAAGTACCCATGAACCTCCAAGTAAACCCCCACAACAACCAGCCTTGCTGAGCAGGGGCCCACAAAAAGAACATGCACATAAGGATCCTTAACTGGGTTGGCCTTTAAACCCTTTGAAAAAATATGTCCCTATAAACCCAAGTTGAGGAAGATAGAAAATGTCCCAAAAACCAACCTTAAGCATAATTTTATCTGGTTTTTTGGGCCCCTACTCATGTGGCACCTCGTTGGGTGGCAGCACGCAGCTCTCGGCCGATACTGGCGCGGGGCGCACATGTCGCTCGGTCTTGTTAGGGTTTGGAGTTTAGGGTCTAGGAGGGTTTAGGGTCTAGGGTCTAGGGTTTAGGGTTTAGGGTTTAGGGTTTGGGGTTTAGGGTATCGTCACATCGGGGTTGAAGGCGGGTTTGGGCTTCGGGGTGTATAGGGTTCATAGGTTTAGGGACCCCCAAATCCCGAGGCAGAGATACAGAAAACCTTAAAACAGGGGCCTACACTGCAGGAACTCTGTGCTGTTTAGGTATAACCTTAAACCCTAAACCCTAAACCCTAAACCCTTGATTCTATGGGCGTTCTTCACTTCGGGGCGGTGCTGACGGGCCTAGGCACAATTCAGCAATTTAGCACAAGGACCCTTAGCCGGTTTTAGGGTTTAGGGTTTAGGGTTTAGGGTTTAGGGTTTAGGGCTTAAGGCTTAGGGTTTAGGGTCTATAGTTTAGGGTTTAGGGTTTTGCCCCCCAAACCCTAGACCGGAAACCTCGAGCCCTACTTCGACCTTAGTGACATCCACATCCCATGTTGAGGCTTTACTTACCTCATTGTTACCACTTGCAAAGGAAACCCAAAAAGTTTAAAGTTCAGCTGTTGGAGAAGTAAGTTTAGGGGTTGCATAAGAAGCCCCACAAGAACAAGGCACATTTTTTCCGGAATAAGGGCGATGTAGGGAGAAATTCTCTCTCATTCTTGGGGGGGCTTCTTGCGCAAGTAGTTGTTCAATTAAGGGCGTTTAGGGCTTTTAAGGGTTCAGGGTTTGGTTCGGGGAGAGCCCTAAACCCTAAACCCTAAACCCTAAACCCTAAACCCCAAACCCTAAACCCTAAACCCCAGAAGCCACAAACAGAATCGCAGCCGTTCCTGCGCTCGGCGTCTGGATGCGCATGGCTGAGGGCGCCTTCGCCAGATTCCGTGGGTCGCCCACGGCTGGGTTTAGGGTTTAGGGTTTGGGGTTTAGGGTTTAGGGTGTAGGGTTTAGGGTTTCGGGTTTAGGGTTCAAAGTTTGGGGTTGAGGCTTGAAAAAACCTTCAACCCTAACCGCCAGAACCCTGGAACGCTGCGGGAAATTAGCAGAGGGGCGGCGCTTTTTGTCGGAAGACGTGAGGTCTCTGGCCTCCCTTTCTGCGGGAAGATGCAATTGAGGTAGCCCTTATATACCCAACTACAAACTCATGGCCCAAACCTTGCGAACTCTCTAAGACATATCTCACTGATGTGACAAAACCCTAAACCCTAAACCCTCAACCCTAAACCCTCAACCCTAAACCCTCAACCCTAAACCCTCAACCCTAAACCCTCAACCCTAAACCCTCGGCTCCTGGGCTTCCGAGACAGAAAGAGTCCGATTGTAAGTTCAGGGCGAGGGTTTAGTGAACCCTGAAACCTAAGAGCCTTTTCGATTTTCAAAGGATTTAACTGTGGGGTTTAGGGTTTAGGGTTTAGGGTTCAGGGTTTGGGGTTTGGGGTTTAGGGTTTAGGGTTCAGGGTTTGGGGTTTGGGGTTTGGGGCTTAGGGCTCTCTAACACCCGCATTGAGCCAGCCTCACTGGCGGGAGGCGTCACTGTGGAGGTTCGCCTCCAACCTTACTGGAGCCACCGTATGCTTACGGATTCGGGTTTAAGATTTAGGGTTTATAGGGTTTAGGGTTTAGGGTGAAGGGTTTAGGGGGTAGGGGGATTCGGGTCTAGAGCACAACTGCTTATCAGGAAGAGGGGGGGGCTGGGGGGGGGTGGGCTTCAGCTTCTTGGAAAGTTGCCCTGGTCCCGCTGCACCGCACCCTACGCTCATGATACTTCCAATTGCGGGCGGCTACCCTTACAGACAGCTGACGCAAGGGCTCATTCTGGGTGTATATAGAACGTCTGCTTGACTATGTAAAGATTTTTCTTGGTTGCTCTTGAACCCCCCAATACAAGCTTTTAACTTTTAGCTCCCTGAATATGAAATTAGAGGAACCCTATACTTATAAAGTGATAAAGTTGTAGTAAAGTCCCACCTAGAATTGAGAAACTACCCACTTGCAAACTTGAAGGTTTAGGCTACATGCTATCCGACAAGCCTCAACGACAGCACCCTAAACCTTACCCCACATCCCCTGAAACCCAACCCCGAAAGCCCTAAAGCCCAAACCCTTAAACCCCCCCAAACTCCCGCACCCGTAAGCCCTAACCCCCCCCTCCCCCCACTCGGCAACAAAAACACGTAAACCCCCCAAAACGCAAAACCCCAGAACCCGATAACCCTAAATCCCTTAACAGCCATATGTGAAACAAATGCCAGGGAACCCAAACTAAACCTCTAAACCTAAAACCTTAAACCCTCAACCCTCAAACCCTAAAACCCTGAATCCTACAACCCCTACACCCAGAAAACCCTAAAACCCCTCAACCCTAAAACCCTAAAATCCCACAACCCCTAAATCCCTAAAACCCTAAAACCCTAAAGACCTCAAACCCTCAACCCTAAACCCTAAAAATACTACTAGTACGGGGGAGCCCAGGTCCGAGCCGAAGCCCAGCCCGGGCTTGGCAGCGACAAAGGTCTGCCGATCCTCCCGCCGACCAGCGGATGTTGGGGTTTAGGGGTTTAGGGGTTTAGGGTTTAGGGTCCCTAAACCCTAAACCCGAAACCCTAAACCCTAAACCGTTTAGGGTTTAGGGCTTTAGGGGTTTTAGGGCTTTAGGGGTTTTAGGGTTTTAGGCTTTAGGTTTTAGGGTTTTAGGGTTTTAGGGTTTAGGGTTTAGGGTTTAGGGTTTAGGGTTTAGGGTTTAGGGTTTAGGGTTTGCTGGAATAGGGCGTAGATGCTGTGAAGGTTAGGATGCAGCAGCGGCTCGAATGCCTCGTCAGGTGCCCGATTGTGGAGGACCATCTAATACTTTTCTCCCACCCCACGCCGTCCGAGGCGGCAAAACCACCCAAACCCATTCCTTTTAGGGTTTAGGCCTAAACTCATGACAATCGCTTGCTTTCAAAACAACCTTTAGCGATGGCCACTTTCAGCCAAGGGAAAGGCTTGAGGCTAGGTCCCGGCTCGTTTGTAGCACGGGTTTCAGCTGCACAGAAAAGGAGAGCAGGGGGGCCAGTGGGGGTCAGCACCCACCCTGCCTGGACCAGCCTGAGGCCCCCTGGTCCCTGGAACGCTGTGAGGGGTCCGGGTCCTCCTGGCCTGGGGGCCTTGGGGTACCCCTTCCCGAAACGGCGGGGTAAAGACCTTGAAATTTAGGATATTTACCTTATTAAGGGGGTGTTTACCTTATTAAGGGGACCAGAACCTGCTCCGGTACCCGCCCATCGTGGGTGAGGCGGGCAAGCGACCTGGGTCGACGTGCTTAAGCGCCGCACCCCCTCTGCAAGGGGGGTTTAGGGCTGAGGGTTGAGGGTTGAGTGCCCGGAGTGCGCCTTTTTTTTCGCATAGCTTAGCAGCCCCACCACAAAACTAGTCTCCCTTCGGGTTCAGGGGCTCCCCCCTAGCAAGGGGGAATTCTTCGTCTGAGGTGCTCTAGTCATAGGGCTCTTAAGGGAGGAGCGCTCAAGGGGGGTATGTAACCCAAGGCTCCCTACTACTAGTCCCTAGGGCTCCCGGGGACCTACCCCACCATGAAGCCCTAAACCCCAAACCCTAAACCCTAAACCCTAAACCCTAATCCCCCCCCCCCCATGAACCCCGAATTGGGTTCAGGCCCCAAGGATCTGTGAGTTCAGGGCCTACTCGAAGGCTCCGGGAACCTCGTAAGCATGGGGAGAAGCAACGTGCTAAGTACCCTTAGGGTTTGGGGTTTAGGGTTTAGGGCTGGGGGTTCAGAGTGTACGGGCGGGGTACGGGGCGGGTACGGGGCGGGCACGGGGGGGGGGGGGGGGATTAGGGTCGAGTGCTATACGGGCGCAAGTACAGACGAATATAATGGGCTTGAGGCATGTGCTTAGGAGTTAGAGTTTGGAGTTTTGGGAACCACCGTAGCATCTCTGTACAGTTTCAGCATAAACTGCTCAAAGCTACCCATTCTGCGAATTGAACTGGCCGCAAAAAACTTCTAAACCCTGGGCTTGCGTTTAGGGCTTAAGGTTTAGGGTTTTGTGGCCATTGAGGATGGAAGGCCCAGGCTTTAGGGCTTAAAGGTCAGGGCTTCGGGTCCAGGACTTGACGCTCTGAACCCAAAAGCCAAGAAACATAAGACCACCCTAAACCCTAAACCCTAAACCCTTAACCCTAAATGCACGCCCCGCTGTCCTGGAAGGGGCGCCCCCCCGTGTTGTCCTTCCATCAAGTCGAAAAGGGTGGCGCCTAAACCCTACAGCATAAAGCCTGAAAACCCTAAACCCAAAGCCCTAAACCCTATTTACAGCATGGACACTCAAACCCTAAACCCTAAACCCTAAACCCATACGAGGCTTGAGGGCTTTGCGGTTTGGGGCTCTAGGGCTGCAGGGGCTTCTAAGGCTTGTGGGGCTTTAGGGCTGTTGCACGCCTCAACCCAGCGGAAAACGCAGGAAACCCAACGTCCGACACCTGCAAAGCCCTGGAGGGGGGGGGGGGGCGGGGGGCGGGGGTCGGGGATTTTTCAGGCTTGCTCTCCCACTCCAGCCCCATAATTGCCCCTTAGTTCTGGGCTCTAAATCCCGGACTTCCCCTACAAGCCCTAGTTTCAGCTCAACACCACCGTAAACCCTGTAAAGCCCAATCATGTTACTAAGCCCACACCCCTGTAAGTTCCGATAATTAACATGCCTCAAGGACCTCAACCCTTAACCCTTAACCCTTAACCCTAAACCCTAAACCCTAAACCCTAAACCCTAAACCCTAAACCCTAAACCCTAAACCCTACACCCTCCTGGCACCTCCCAAGCCCCGGCTTGGAGATCCCGCGAAGGCGCACCCTAAGCCTTAAACCCTAAGCTCTACACACCCGAAGCTCTACAAAACCCTAAAGCCCGAATTCCTTGTAGGTTTAGGGTTCAACCTGTAGGTTTTAGGTCTTAGGGTTTAGGGTTTAGGGTTTCGGGTTTAGGGTTTGGGGTTTAGGGCCCGAACTCCCGCGCCTGTACCAGCCAGCCGACGTTGCGCTGCGACGTTTCGGGCCAAAGCTCAAAATGCCCAGGGGCACCGGTCCTTTGAAATTGGGGAAGTTTAGGGTTTAGGGTTTAGGGTTTAGGGTTCAGGGCTTAGGGCTTAGGGCTTAGGGCTTAGGGTTTAGGGTTTAGGGTTTAGGGTTTAGGGTTTAGGGTTTAGGGTTTAGGGTTTAGGGTTTAGGGTTTAGGGTTTAGGGTTTAGGGTTTAGGGTTTAGGGTTTAGGGTTTAGGGACGCGGAGCAGGCTTAGGGCTCAGGGCTGAGGGCTTAGGGCCTACGGCCTAGGGCTTAGGATTTAGGGTTTCCGGACATCCCCGCACGCTCAAAAACGAAGAGCGCGCCATGCTCCACCTCTAAACCCTGAACCCTAAACCCTAACCTTAAACCCTAAACCCTAAATCCTAAACCCTAAACCCTAAACCCCACACCCTAAACCCTAAACGCTGAACCCTGAACCCTCGGAACCGTAAACTTCCGTCCGAGCTGCTTGGCAACGAGGTGGGCTCGGAAGTTCTTCGCGGTTTCCTGGCCGCTTCCAGCCAACCAGTACCCAGTGGGGTTTGGGGCTTTTAGGGTTTAGGATTTAGGGTTTAGGGTTTAGGGTTTAGGGTTTAGGGTTTAGGGGTTCTAGGGTTTAGGCGCTCTAGGGTTTAGGGTCTGAAGGTTTGGGGTTTAGGGCTTTTAGGGTTTTGGGGCTTGGGGTTGGTCTAGAGGCTTGGGGTTTAGGGTTCATAGGGCTTTTGGGTTTAGGGTTTAGGGGTTAGGTTCAGGGTGTATCGGGGCCTATTGAAGGCGGTTTTGGAGTTTAGAGTGGTTGTCC